CTCTAATTTTGAGAAGATTGTCAAAAGAATTAAAACTAACAGTTGGGCTAGTACAGTAAAAATATCAAATTTACTAGAGGTAAATATAGACATTTGTAGTTTATTCATAGACAAAAATCATCCATTTTTAAGAGCGACGCCTGACGGTATTATACGAAGTAACACCCTGTTTAAAATCTCGTGTTCCATAATTGCATTTCTGGCGGGTAAATAAAAAAGTGAGACCCAGGTGAACAAAAATTCTGATTGGTTCATGCAAGTTCAAAGACAGATGCATATTTCCGAAATATTTAAATGCTTACTGGCAGTATGGTATAGACGTAATAAAATAAAAGTGGATACAATGCGTGCGTTTGGCAGAAAAAAGCGCTAGCAAGCGCTTGTAAGCAAAATGGCGATCGTAAGCGGTAAGCGCTGTCAAATCGTAAGTAGCTATTTTCCTCCAGGACACGATGTTAGTTTTAACCGGGGAATCTAACCTAATTTAAATATATGTTTGTAAAGTATTCATATTAAAAACTTACCAATCATGAGTTTTAATAGCATGTATATGTTTATTCATGTCATTATATTACTTAAAACTAATATTGCACAAAACAACTTATAAACTCTACTTCAAAACAAACAAATTAAATAAGCAAAATGACGGATTGTGTCAGCGCTACTGAAGTAGCAATCGTGTCCTGGCCGAAAACTATTTTAGCGCTTATAAGCGCTTGCTAGCGCTTTTTTCTGCCAAACGCACCCAATAATATAGGTGACCAATTTTGGAAGGATAAAATGGAGCCAAAATTACTTTCATTTTATTTTTACTGCTTGCTACCGGAATTGGTAGAACCGCGACTTATTCGCAATAAACAAATTCGGGATCCAAGTTAATTAACAAAAAAGAAAAAATAAAGAGAATGTGCATAATGGCCCTAAAAAAGAAGAGGAATAAAATATCATTACAAATGTGGTTACAAATTCTATTATACAATATAATTAGTTTTAAAAATTATGACTTAGTTATTATTTCAATAAATAAGTAAATATAAACATTGTTGATTTCTCTTTTAATAAACTAACATGACGACAACAATAATGACATACAACTACATGTTATTATACAACAAGACAATAAATAATGCGAAATATTAAAAACATTAAAAAAATAGTGTGTCGCGACTCTGAAGCTTGCTTGTTCCTTTCTGTTTACCGCACGTTGACCTCCGATTGAGCATTTGGCGCGACTTTGAAATTTTAGGAATCGAGTGACGAGTATCGCTTGCGGGGCGCGGGGTGTAATAGGTGGAGCCATTTTAAGCGTTTAATTTTGATGTGTCGTCTGTTAGTTAGGGCTTAATCTGAGTGACAGTGTTAGAAATTGTGTAATTAGGGAAAAATGTGGTGTGCAAGATGATGTTATGACCAGGATTAAAAAACAAATGCTTCGGTTTGATCATGTAGAATGAATGAACAAGGAAAGAGTGACAAAGCAAATTTATATGGCAGATGTGAACGGCAGAGGCGAGAAGGGACGCTCAGACGAAGTTTTATCTATTGAGTTATACAAAACGTAAATCAATGGGTTTATCGACCAAATTGGCGATATATTGAAAATGGACCAAATTAAAAGTACCCTTAACCGACGAGCATGTATGCGTAGGCATATGGATGTGGAGGAGGCAAGAGAGATATTATGTCAAATGGAAGTCTGTAGTCTCTGCCTAGCCCTCTGGATGACTGACTTGAGTGTTTATGTATGTGTGTCTTTTTATATATTGGGCAACCAGACGTTTCGTTTTACGCTGCCAATCTGAGTGCGTAAAACAATTATCATACAACATAATCTTAGGTTCATACTTTGTCATATACCTAATTCTTTTTCGTGCGCGAATCGAACTCGCGGCCAGAAATACCGCAACTAAATGCCATACTCTATGTCTATGGTATAGATACCGCAATATAAATGATTTTCGTTTAACTAATAATATTGGCTATATTTTATTATATTACATCTTATTTTTACTAAATTATCTCTGTCTATTATTGTTTAAATATCTTAGAAATATGGTATATTATCAATTATCCATTTACTACTCCACACAACGAATTCTTTTATTTTTATTAAATTATCCCATTGCTGATGTGTCAATCATTAAATAAATATTATTCAAAGGCAAACCTTAAACAAATTAATATCTCAATTGTATGAATAAAGGAGTTGAATAGCTTTACTTTTGTATTTAGTCAGGATATAATTTTCTTTAGAGAAAATACTGGAAAATCAATAATTTAGTTTAGAAAGAAAATTATTGAAAAATAAACCCTTATAAATATTATGTAATGTCAATATTTATCCATTAACTAAACAAAACCATTTATCCATTAACTAATCCAAACAACATTAACTGTATTTTGATACTTGGGTGTACTTAAGAAAGCTTACACGTGGAACTCCGCTCGAGGCACACATCAGATTATGTAATTATAGCGCGTATAATTATAAACGCTTGCTTCAATTATAATTAATTTCGTATGTTCATATATAAATAAGAATATAAACCCCTAAAACATTAAACTCAATAAATTATTTCAGCAAATTACAAGTAATGGCAAAGAAAGCAATCTCGAGAAATGTTTTCAATTCAATTCAGTTTCAATTTGTTGATCATTTTATGTGTATGTATTTGTTTTTGTTCAATATTGATCGGAACTAAAATACTTTCATCAGGCAGACTTAATGCCGATAAACGATGGACGAATAAATATTTTAACTGCTCATTCTACTTTCGTTCGAAATGACTTATTGAAAATGAAAAGCACAATCGAAGCATATAATATCGCATTAAAGAATGTAAGATGCACAAGACTATTTATACCAATTGCCTAGTTGCTATTGCGGGACTCCCATAGAATTTCACTGTAGAAGAGGGGCATGCGAGCATGTGGTTCACCTGTGACGGATACTTATATAGTGAACAAAGACATCGTGAATGTGATCATAGCGCCAGCTCTCGGGTCCTAACATAGCATGGCTATGTACTATGAATCATCATCTCGATTATATTGTGTAAATTCAATCCTCAATCCATATTAGTTCAGTCCTCAGTTCATATTAGGTTACTACCAACTACTCGTAACGATGTCTAACACACTTAATATTTTCGTACTATTTATGAAAAAGACAATTCGTTTTAAATGTTTGACAGTTATTGTGTGCACAATTAAAATGCGTTTTAATTTCTCTGCACTCTTGTTTATTAATTTTATCTTTGTTGTTATTTTGGTCATTATTCGTATGATAGCGATACAATATTTTTATTATAATATACCAACATAAGGATTAAACTTGTAATATGTAATAATAAAAATATTTGTTTATTAGTTCGGATTTAAATGTCATTATACCTACTGGACAAGTAGGTATAGTAGCGACTTAGCTTGCAAACGTAGAAAATCTCGTTTGAACGGCAATTGTGAGTTAAGTAGCTAGTTAACAATTAAGTTGAACGGGATAGCCACCCGGTCTGTTTTTCGGCGAGTTTAGTTCGAAGTGTTGCCCTCCCGCGCATCTCCCGCCACCCGCAACTAAACTCACCGCCCGTATGGACGAGTGAGTTTAGTTCATTCACTGAACTAAACTAGATCGCTGAACTTCAGTGCATAAGTTTGACAGGACGCAACGTGTTCGCGTTCGACCCTCAAAGTATAGAATTGTACTTTTTTTTACTAAACTTGCCACGATGACATTTGAACGCTACTGTACAAGTGAACAGTAGCGTTCAAATGTTTATGTAACCGTTTAGTGTCAACTGCCCTGTAACTAAACTCGCTACTGTACATATTTGTCGAAGTGTAAATAAAAGTGTAATAATAATACGTGGATAAGACCTTGAACTGGGAAAAACAAGTCACTGAGGTCAGCCGTAAAGACACTGCTATTTTAAGGTTGCTTTACCGTCTGAAAAACTTTCTGCCATACAAAACTAAGCATATCCTTACCCAAACAGTCATGTTGCCTGATTATGCAGATGTTTATTATTTAGACTTGAACCAAAATCTTCTCAATATACTGGAGCGCCTTCTTAAATAACTGTATCAGGTTTATTTCGGCCTCCGGTAATATGACCACATCTCTCAATTTCGTATTCACCTTAAATGGCTAAATATCCGAGAAAGGCGCACTTCCAGTATGTTGTCTGTTCTCTACTCCATTTTAAATGATTTGTCATCCCCTTCCTACCTTAAAGAAAAAAGGCTATACTACTCTGGAACCCGTTACATGAAGACATTAGGAAAGCACTAAATAAGATAAAAAAGGGATTGAATTTGAATTGGAATCCGGGAACATCTTTCAAAAACAATGTCGTCAACATAATGTCACAATACTGCTACCTTTATCCAGACATAATTATTATGTATATATGTATTTATGTCTATGTATATGTATGTAGGTTTTAAGGATAATTGTTATACATGGATTATTTATTTATTATTTGTTTGTATTCATATGCATTAGTGTCATTTACCAACCTTATTTTAATGTGTGGTTATATCTATATAAATTTGTTATATTTAGTTATTTTAGTCACCCACCACTAATTTCTCACCACGCCATGGGTTGACTGGCAGAGAATGCAAACTGGCATTAAGGCCGCTCTTTGTAACCTTTATGGTTAGAACTATAAAGCGTTTAATTAAATAAATCAGTTATATCATTCATACGATTACCACAAACCTTTAATGAGTTGTTGTGTGCGCATCCGCGAAGGTTTCTGATAAAATAAATGAATATTTCAATATTTGTTTGCTTTTTCGTCTCTTATGCGTTTCTATAGCATTCATTTGATTATGATAAAAATTTTCGATTAATGGTTTCTTACAAAAAAGACTTTGCGACGCATGCCAGTTGCACTTGAAATATATTAAAAACAAATAAGGATATCAAAGTGTTTTAGTTACGCATAACGTGTTCCTGCTACCTTTACAAAATTAATAAAATTATTTTTTTCTAGGTGAAGAGAGCGATATCGCTGATAACGAGGACAGATTATCAACTGAGAGTTCACCTATAAGGCGACGCAGAGGAGGCATTTTAAAAGGAGGGAGGCTATGGAAGTCTTTAGATACGGACAGGGATATTAACGAACAGGTAATTTTATTTTTATACTAGTAGCAAACATGTAGCTTATTCCCCTGTTAAAGGGATTAAAGTATCTATGCTGTTGCTAGCTCCACATTGCCAGCACACAGCATCACAGTGCCAGATACATATACAGATAAAATAAAAACATGTTTTTATTACACGAAAATATTTTTATACAATGGCGAATTTAATGTTATAAATGCGTTTTCTGTCAGCTAACTATTGGTTGTATTAGTAAGAGAGACAATTATTTAGTCGAAGGTGATATATATGTATAAAACCATATTTATAATTGAAAAGGAACACAGGTTCGGGCGTCCCTCTTGATCCTGAAAAGGACCAATTGAAAAGGACCTAGCGGATCGGGTACTAATAAACAGGAATCGAGGCTTCTCTCGATCCGGCCTCCTATCACGCCTACGTTGGGTTCGGGAACAACGTATGTGATCTCCGCAACGGAGTAACACACTAGGGCGATAACCTCTTCCTTTTCAGCAAGTAGGTTCAGACGGGGATTACGGGTCTTCCGAAGTCGTCCCGGTCCCGACGCCTTAATTCTTCGATGTGGACTGTATAACTTAAAGGATCTTGGGAATGAAACAGCAATTATCTTCAAACCGTTCCGTGAGAGAGTAATCACTTTTCCCTATACTGCTGGTTTTTCACTTTTCTTGAACTTTTTCCCGGATTTTCTTATTTATTTCCGAACTATTTCCGAACGATTCCCGAAGGATTCCCGAACGATTCCCGAACGAATTGCAATAAAACCCGTTCACTAAGCTACCCCAGAGCTATACGCGAAAGTGAGCCGCGCCATCTGCGCGCTTGCGCAACTTAATTACATGAATTTGTACTATTACTCTCTCACGTTTCACTCAATATCTTTATTTATTCAAATCATATACAAATACAATTTATCAATATAGGTAGTACAAAACAATATCTACACCATGATATACATCATATCTTCATATCATAAAAAACCTTTTATTTATTAAACGAAAACTGCCTATTTTACTCACAAGTTCGAAATCGAAATTTCTTAAATATTTAACACAGAAAGTTAAAACAATGTTTCTCACTTGAATTTATACATAAGCTAACCAATACAATAGTTTAATTTACATTTTTTCTATTTATTTCACTATTTAAAACACTTTTAAATTTCTTATACAAAACTATCATTATTTCACTTATACACAGGAATTTTCACATAAAAATAACACAGAATTTACCTTTTTAGCACGTACAATTAACCTGAAATATTTTACAAGTAATTTTTACATAAATCACTGAATTACAAACATTTTAAATTTTTACATATTCGGCCTCCTAAGGGCGTGGCTTAGCGTGCGTCTATGAACTCACACTATTTGAACAACTAACTTTGCACGGCTCTCGGCTATCAGAAAAAATGAAATTCTGAAATTCACCAATTTTATCAATATTTGGCAAATTAAATGCTTTTATACAATTTTCGAACTGTATGAAACTATCTTTAATCAGATAACAATATAAATGAATGTTCTCATTAATCAATCATAACAAATAGGCATTTGTTTTCGTACAAAACGTATCAAACTTATACAAAACAACATTTATGCAATTAATATCCATTAATTCTGCCTATGCACAGAGTGATTATCTCGACCGGGGAACAAATCCGGTAACATAATTTATATCTTAAATTCCTTACGAATTTATTAAGCGATATTACTTAGGAAAACAAACAAACTAGTCCGGCCTGGGAGTCGAACCCAAGACCTTCATATCATTAATTCGACATTTCTTAAAGATTTAACTAAGCATTCTCTTATCAGAGCGTCGTTGCTCGTGACTGCCCCTTTTTTCATAGCAACGTCATCGGTTGATTTAATAAACTGAAACATTTTTATAGGCGCGTCGCCAACAATCTCCCCCCCGTGCGTTAGCACCATCATTTGGGAGGCGTCGCGGGTACCAGGACTATTATTCTGGATGTAGGTCTCCTCAAGATACCTGTGCTAGTAATGACGTCAACCACTCTGGTGTGACCGTCTGGTCCCGGTAACGTTCTACTAATTTTACCTTTTGGCCACGTATTTCGTGGCAACGAATGATCTATTATCAAAACAATATCGCCTTCTTTAGGTTCCATGAACTTGCCGTTATCACCTGTTCGAGGTTCTTTCAGCCATCTTGTCCAAAAATGGTCGGCCAACCTCTGTGCAGCTTTCCAATTGAGTTGACCCGTCAGATGTCGCTCTAAAAATAATCCAGGTGGTCGATCACCACATGAGCGTCCCAGAAGAAAATGATTGGGTGTCAAACCCTCTTCAGGACTATCCATACTGAATGTTACTAGAGGTCTGGAATTTACCGTATGCTCTGCTTCTAAAAGTAACGTATGTAGAACCTCCTCTCGTGGGCTCTTCTCTTTAAGTGTAGCGGTCAACGCAATTTTAATCGATCTTACTAACCTCTCCCAGGCGCCACCCATGTGCGGTGCTCCCGGAGGTATAAATTTCCATTTAATATATTTCTTAAATGACTCGTTTGTCATGCCCTCATAGCATTCTTCGCATGCTTTCAATAATTCTTTATTTGCAGCTTTGAAATTTGTCCCGTTATCGCTGTATATAACGGCTGGTTTTCCTCTTCTGGCGATAAATCGCCTTAACGCCATTATCATTGACGCTGGTGTCAATGAGGCTGCTAATTCCAGATGTACTGCTCTGGTGGTCAGACACGTGAATAAAACGCCCCAACGTTTTTCGTGTCGCCTTCCTATAGTCACACTCATAGGACCAAAATAATCTACAGCTGAGCATGTAAAAGGTGGCTCATGATGAGCTATTCTTTCCAGAGGAATATTTCCTTGTGGCACGTTTTGCGGCTTTGACCTGTATGTCCTGCACCACTGACAATGGTGTGACACACTTCGTACTACATTACGCAAGTTCAAGACGTAAAATTTCTGGTTCACCTCATTCATCACCGTCTGGTGATTGGCGTGTCCAAAATGATGATGAACTTCTCTAATCATCATTTTAACGATTTCGTGTTTACCGTCTAATATGACAGGTTTTCTACTTTCCTCGGTCAAATTAGACTTGAAAGGTAAACGTCCATTTAAACGGAGTAAGTTATCCTCTCCTATTTCCATAGATAATTTACTTAAGCGTGAACTTCTTTCAACGCTTTTGCCTGCTTTCAAACATTTTATTTCCGAATGAAAACACTCGTCTTGAATGAATTTCCAAATTAATATTTCCGCCTTTTTCAAGAGCGCTGTGTCCAACGCGCTATCGGGTCCTTTAACCGACTTTCTTAAACTCTTGAATTTTTCTACCGCTTGTAAGGTGCGTGTAGTTGCTCCAAGGAATTTCTTAAAGCTGCTAAATCGTCCGTAGTCGGGTAGACTTAACGGTTCTTGCTTTCTTAACGTATTTACGCCTTTAACGATGAGATTTTCTATTTGCTTCTCATATTCTTTTTTTCAACTCGCTATTTTTGTCGAGCTTTTTCTCAATATTAAACAGGCGACTTTCAACCTGTGCCCTATTCGATGGCAAGCACTCATTGTCTGTGCGCCATAACAAAGCAGTCTCGTACCTATTATTAGGTATACGACGTACCGTTTTGTTCAAAATATTTAAAGCTCGTTCTTCTGGGTCGTTCACGGGCTTTCTAGCCGATACTCCCAGAGATTCCAAACTAAAATAATCCTTGATTAATTTATCCATATCTTCCTCCTTCTTGGTGGAAATGTGGTTAACAATCTTGATTGGTTTAATGCCACCCGATATGTGACCATGCAAAACCCACCCCAGTTTGGTGAGCGATGCTACAGGTAGGTTCTTACCTCCCGAAACCAATTCACGAGTAACTATGAGATGCCAATTGTCCTGACCAATCAATATGGTAGGCTTGGACCTCTCATACATCAACTCATCCTTGATCGGTGTCAAATGAGAACACCGTTGCAATAATTCTCGGCTTACCGACTGAGGAGCGAGGTTAAGTGACTTAATTGTTTGTACACTTATCTCTTCTAAGTCGCTCGAATAAATGCCTTTTATTTTAACGTTTAAGCGATACGAACTATCGTCGTTAATTCGCTTACCTCCCACGGCTTCGATACGTAATCCCTCTTTACGTCCGCGAGGCGCTAACTTCTGAGCCATCCACTCCTCTATGAGTGTCATGGTTGATCCCTCATCCAGAAGAGCTGTTGTCTTGACCTTTCCTCTAGGCCCATGCAACTCGACCGGTATGATCTTTAAATATGCACATGCCAGTGCATTTACTGTACTAACAGTTGTAATCTGAGCATCTTTACCCCCCTCGTCCCCTTGTGGCGAGGTATTTTCCTTGGGGTATCGGTGTAGCATTCGATGATGTGACATTCTACATCCTTCTACACCACATTTTTTCGCTTTGCACTCTAACCTCCTATGGTTAGGTGACAAACATTGGAAACATACTTTGGCCTTTTTGACGGCTTCCCATTTCTCGCGAATATTCATGTCCTTAAACTTGTAACAACTCACTATAGAGTGTTCCTTGTTGCATATAACACACTTATGTGTTACCCGACTTACAGGCTTGTCCTGGGTTATCATAACCACTTGTCGGTTGTGCCTTTTATTATTTCGGCGTTCTAAACGCTCGCTCATATTACTTCGGCGCATATAGCGCTCGCTCTCGGCACAGCTGCGTACACCTCCCTTTGCAGTGTGTACAGTTTGCTTCCTGAATTCAGGACGCTTCCTTTTTTTCAGGCGCATTTTCATTGCTTAAGGACGTTCCAAATTGTTCACTCAATAAATTTAAAAACTTGGCCATCTTCTGTAACTCTGGCTCCAAAGGATATTGAGCTCGATATTCAAACCATTTAAATTTAATCATAGTTCCAAGTTTCTCCACTATGCGGCTCACTAACTCCGGTGAGTATAAATACTGTGGTTGATTCAACGCTTGTATTGTGGCAACCACGTTCGTAATACGACTTGCAAAAGATCCTA